AATTTGCCTAACCGTGACAGAATCACGTTTTTTTTTTTTGCTTTGTCTCTTAAATATCTCATCAGAGCTATGTCTAATAAGGCTAATATGCTGGAAACATATTGGCGTGCTCAGTCAGGATGGTACCCCATTAGTATTTTTCTTGATACAGTCCTATTATAAGGATAAAACATACTATTGTCCGGGCCATATGAAAGAGGATCCAGATAACCATGTATTGTCCCGAACAACACCATGGTTTATCCTTACCATAGTAGAGGAAAGCTATCTGTGAGTTGGTATTTTTTCTCTACTATTATAAGGATAAACCATGGTGTTGTTCGGGCTAATACAGGATTATCTGGATCCTCTCTCATATGACCCGGACAATAGTATGTTTTATCCTTACAATAGAACTGTATCAAAAAAAATATTAATGGGGTACCATGCTGACTGAGCACGTCCATATATAAATTGAAATGCTCTACACATTGGTAAATTTTCATTAGATCTGGTATTTCTTTTAAATTTTTATGATTGAAATAATTATCCATGACGGAATAACCAAAAATGAACATCTACCTTGAGGCTTATTCTAAAGAATTAACAAAATTTCAGTTGTACGACAAATGTGATAAAAAAAATTCTATAGGAAAGTTCTAGCTTAGATGATGAGCTGTATATATATATATAGAGAGAGAGAAAAAAAATTATCATGACGGAATAAGGCTTTTGTAAAGTAGGAAGTTTTTTATCAGCATTTATTTCTTCAGAAAATCAACTATAGTTCCCTAAATATGAATGAATTGATAACATCTCATTTCATCCTTCTCAGAATGCAAAAATTATATAATGAAAACATAAGTTTCGCATTTTTCTGACTTTCCTGAAACAGGTAGGCAGATACATACTCTAAGAAATATTTCATCGAATGAAAACTGAGCATTATAATCAAGTCAAATATATCTACTGTCTCTCTTGTATTTTACACTGTATTGTTGATATTGAATATATAAAGATATAATTCTTTAGTTTTATTTTATAAATATGTAAATTGAATACTTCGACGTTTCGGATTGTATATATTGACCATCATCGACTTAGATTAACAAATCATAGACGACGAAATCCATACTATTTATTTTATTCTAAAAAATAATATTTAAATTCACTTAAGATTTTAGAATTAATGTAACATAAAAAAGATAATTAGTAGTATGGTTTTATTCTCTGATTAATTTATACACTTTGTCATTTTTCTCCTCTTTAGATTCTATATAATAGATGGTTTGAAAATTTGGAAAAAAAGAATAATACATCGAATACATTACGATCATCATTACTTCATCCAGTTAAAGGAGTATCATTGACGTCGACTTCTTCGAATATACAAATATCATCTCAAGGTCATAATGAGATAAATATAGAAAATTCTGTAGAACAAATGCAAACATTATCATCAAATGCATCTCAATTAGTACCATCAATTGAAATAATAGATGATGAATATATAAAATATTCATTATTTAAAAGAGTTAGTCAATATGAATAAAAAAAATTAACTTAAGTTGATCTTTCCTTTCTCTTTGATTTAGATGTTCAGTAATCTAAATTCTTTATTACATATACTTAATAATCAACATTTATCATCTCATTCTCAAATGGTTAAGTCAACAATATCCGAAATAAAAATTTTAGAATCAAATATAGATTTAAACAATGAAAAGTCAATATCTAATGCTAGAAAACTAATTTCCTTCATAATAGCTGAATATCAAACAAAATTTAGTTATTATTATTTAAGACAAAATAAATGTAAAATTAATTTACTATTGAAAAATTCATTTACATCTATAATAACAATTCTGAAAAAATTTTCAATTAAACTTCAACGTTATAGACCACAAAATTATAGAGATTATCTAATCAGAAGATCAAATCAATCGTTAACTACTTCATCGACAATAGTACAAAAAATATAATTCCTTTTAAAACTAAGAAAATTTAATTTAAAAAAAAAATTAGAAGATCTTTTGATTAATAATAATGATAAAATATTAAGTGCATCACGTTCATCAAATAGTGTCAAAAAAAAAGACATTTCAATAGAAATTCTTTTAATTCTGATGAACTATGATATTCTTTTGTTTTTCTTTTATGAATATATTTTATTGTTACTGCTATGTTTTTTGTTAAAAGAAGAGAAATAAATGTTAATATAAAGACTAAAACATGTTACTTTTTGAAAACTATGTTTATTTAAAATCTCCTTCCATTCAAATAAATAAACATCAGATCATGAAAATATTCTTAAAAATTCATTGGGGTTTTTTTTTCTTCTAAAAGGACTAGAATAAAATTTGAATTTAAACACATGTATTATTGTGAAGAAATATAGAATGTGAGTAGATGGGTATAGGTGCGAGTCCAAATGCGGAGGCAGAAAATTCACACTCACTCTCTATTTTTAACATGTTCTGCATTAAAATGGTCATTTCTACCACAGATATGGCCAATTGTGACCTAGAAATGCTTATTTGTACCATAAGAATAGAGGCAGGTGTGATTGTGCGTCTTTTCTTCTCTAATATTCAAACTACACTTACCCACATCTGTGCGCGTATGCGAATAGAATAGCTTTTAATTCATTTTCATTCAATCACGATTTATCTGAAAGATAAAGAGATCGAAACAAAAATCATCGTATTGAGTTCAATCGGTGTTAAATTTCTGTACTTGATGGTTATTGCTTTCGGCGACATAGAGATTACCACGTCGATCAATTGATAAACATATGGAAAGATTGAGTAGATTCGACTTCTCTGTGTGCTTCCTTTTGGCTAGCACATGATTCGATGATTATCAGAATCAGCCACATAGATAGTATCCCATTGATCGATAAGGACTCTATTAGGATCACACAGTTCTGTAAGACTATTTCTTTGTTCTTGACCACCAACTACGAAAATTTTTTGTGTTCCATCTTCTTTCCATTTCATGATACGATGATTGAAACAATTAAATACATATACAGATTGATCTCAATCAACTAAAACGTAGCCGGGGTAAGAGAGTCGATCACCTTGTGGGATGCGGGTGAGTTCTGAAGACGAAACCCAAACCCTCACACTGACCCATATCCCACATCCTTGTATTAGTGTTTGTTAAAAGAATTCAATCTTTTCTTATGACGTATAAAAGTTCTCGCTAAAATGAGAAATTTTTCTTTCTCCCTATAAAATTCAATTCAAAATTCTTTTGAAATGGTGGATATAAGTTTCTAGTTCAGATATTATTAATATCTCATCCTTTCATAGCAAGGAGGATGAGAATGGCTCCGAAACTTTTCAATACCGATGAAGACAATCGTTTAAGCCCCCCCCCCCTCAGAAAACCGAGCTTTACAGGGAAATATCGAAGTTGAGTTTTTATTATAGAAAAATGCAGCGAAGCTTCCTCTATCAGACTATCTATAGATTTTTTGAAAATGATCAGGTTTTCAAAGACCTATCACATGAAACTTAAAATCTACTACCATGTTTTCGGAGAAATTTTCGTGGTTTTTAAAGGTTTTCAGTTTTAGAAAATTTACGTTTGGAATATTTTTATATATTAATCGGCATGTCAGATGACGTTAGCTTACTGCATCAGTTACGCGCTTTTAAAGAGTTCTATAAAATATATTGAAAATATGCTATTTTAATGTGTTTTTTTCGAATTTCAACGAAAAACTCATTTGTAAAACTTCTTTAGCGTTTTTCTCAAAACATGGTTTCCAATCAGAAAAATTGGAACTCCTCCCTCATATCTCGAGCGATATCCAATATTTTTTGTGGTTTTAAAGGTCTCAACGAGAGTAAAGGGTATGGACGTGGGGTGTGGTGTTGGGTACATCGGGGTGACTATTCTCTCACCGATTCACCCACACCTACACCCATACCTGGAAGGGTGAAAATTGATCATACAGAAATTTTCTCATTTTGAAAACAAAAAGTGCAACTATAAAATAAGCGATATTATGTAAATTGTAGAGCTTTTCACGCTACATTTTATGGCATATTTTGTTTTTAAAATAAACAAATGTACTACTGTCCATTTCAAAAAAAGAAGAAGGGTGATTGTTTTTCGAATAACTCTTTAACGGAAACAGCTATCGATCTGCGGTTTTCATCACTAGAAAGAGGCAGAGCTTTCTGCATCTTTCTATATATTAGCTACTGAAACTAGCTCAGAAATTTGATGAGCAATTAGTGACATTCAAAGAAGATACTAAAGTAGGGTGGGTGTGGGTGTGGATCTTCTCTTCATTCACGCCCACACCCCACACCCACACCATTTTCGAATAGGAGTTGTCAAAAATCTTGCAGATTTTTTGGGAAAAAGGTGTCGAAGAAAAGTTTTTATCATTTGTGAAAGAACAAATGACAAGCTATCCCTCAATCTTGATCGTTCTGACGAAAACTAACTTCTTTGAGAGGACTCTTAACCTGGTAGTCATCTACGCGTACTTACCAACCGAGACCTTGAAATGGGGCTCTTACTCTTGAACATCAATACTTTCTATATGGACCTGTTTTGATAAAATATCTGTCGATGAATGATATTAGTATCAAATGAGAAAGCTGTGCGGATTGAATGAAAAGAGAAATAGAAATAACATATCGTACATAAAAAAGTGCCCACAGTTGTTTTTGAACAAAGAAAGTCCAATGTCTTCTAATCATCTTCATTGTCAATGCTGAAAATATTCGACAGACAACGTTTATATGAAACATTGTTCCCATCATTAATAGTATTTTATTCTAGTGGACACCGCTAGGAAAAAAGACATTTTAGCTACTTTGTCGTCTTAAAAAAAAACCATAAATTTAACATATTTATCATTGATCATTTAGAAAAACATTTATAGAAATTGATGAAACATTTGCTTCTATAAAACACATATAAAAACTAGCCAAATTTGGAATTATCGATAGAGCAACTTCTAGTATAAAAAAGCCAATATTCTGAAAATTACTCTTAACAACTATGTGGCATTAGTATTTAGTTCTAAAACGAGAGCTCATAAGCAATAGAAAATCGGGTGGCAACCTAAAGGAAATATATAGAATCTATGAAATTCCTCTATGTCACTTAACATGTCGAACATGAATTTTGTGTGAGTCATTTTTGTAGAATACTTATCATAATATATACTCACAAAAATTCCTCATTAAAAACAGTATTGTTGAAAAATGACGAAATCTACAATCTATAGGTAATGCAATGATAATTTTCATTATTCACCGTAGGATACTTCTCTACTCATTCGAATATCTTAGCAAGAGAACTAATTTTAAAGCTAACGATAAAGGTGTTTCTACTGGATCCGTATGAAAAATGAAATATATTCGACTCAAATTAAAGCTACCATCATCAAACTAACGAGATTAAAATATCAGTGGTATGAAAAATCATACAGCTTGAGCGTTGATCTCTAACATTTTTCATAATTTTAAAATGGTATATCTTCTTGTGGACAAGCTAAAGGCAGTCTATATATTAACCTGGTTAAAAGATGTTTTATGTGAATTTTAGAAAAAAATCGATTATTTTTCTTAAATGAATTGGTTTTTCACTTCTGCAATAATATCAATTAAAAATACAAATTCTAAACGTATATTTATAAGAATATTTATTCTAAAATGTTCATCATATTGAATATTTTTTTATACAAAAATATAGTCAGATTTAATTTTTTCTTATACTTCATTTTACTGTAAAACTTATTGTTATATTTGTGAAGTTTCTTACCAATTAATGATAGATGTCAATGCTAGAAAGATTTCATTGAATATTTCTTATATTATTATTTGAGATTAGTACGAATTTATTTATTAATTTAATAGAAAATCAAAATAATACGTATATATTTGAAAAAAAGAATCAATGATAAGAATGAAGTTCGATCATTGGATTTAAATGTCCAACATGATAATATTGTTTTTTTCATACAGAAATTCATCAGATAATGGAGGTTTACTTAGAATCTGAGCAGATTTCATTAATTCAAGCAACAAAATAATTCGATATTGTTTGACTATAAGAAATTTGACCAAAAGAATTTATTTTTCAAAGAACTATTCCATATGACCAAACATCTGATTTCGAACTGTACTTTCGGTGAATTAATACTTCAGGTGATGACCAGCAAAGTGGAAATGGCTTATCATATTTTTCTTGATAAATGATTGATGATAATAACATTTGTCTTCAAATAAGTACATAAATAAAAAAATATTATTTATTTATATCTACCTGGATAATTTCTTGCTACTAAATCTCTATGAATAACTGATTTTTATTTCAAGATAAGACATAGTATCAATTATTTGAAAAGAAAATAAACGAAGACGATGACGAAAATTCTCTCTAATAGATGTTTGGTGTTGTTTTTGTAGCCAAGAAAGAAGAGATCCATTATTAATATATTCAGTTATTAAACAAATTTGATCATCAAATGTTGATATACCATAAAAATGAACTAAGTCAGGATGATTTATATTCATCATTGTTTTAGCTGTATATAACATATTTGATTGACATTCAGCTATTGATAAATTATACGAGTTTGAACATATTTTTATAGCAACTGAAATATATCCTAGGGTGTGGGTGTCTCTTCTTGTCCCATACCCACACCCACTCTCAAGATAGTTGCTTTATGCATTTAAATCCTAGGATGAAAAAATGAGTATAAGTGAAATTCATTATTTGCTATTATATCTTTCTTTTTTTTTTGTTCATGATTCTGAATGGCAAGATAATATGTCGTTTTCTCAGCTAATATGATAAGTCAACTTTACACAGAATGGTTGGCTATCAAAAAGTCTAACTTACATCAAAATAATATCCTTAATACATTTGAAGTTGCTTCGAGAATGTTTTATGTTTAAACAATTACTCAATGCTTTTTGTTCTTATCATTAAAAAGAAGTCCACT